GTAGTTCTCTCCATCGCAAGGAAGGAGAGAATTTCCCTAAGAAAATATGAATTTTCTGTTCTATTTCAGAATTTCTCCAAGAATTATTTATTGCTCCAACTCAGGGAGCAACAGACCTTCCTCTGAAGAATCATCCTCCAGTTAGATTGAATATGTTGCAGCTAATAGCAACAAAACGAGAATGAGATTCTGTGTCCTGCAGCCAAACTTGGACAGCTCAACAGAGTGATTATATATGGGATACTAAATGATGAGCATGAGATGGTAGCAAAATGTTAGACTTTCTTGTCTCTTTTTTAGTTTACGTATTTATTTTAAAATATTTAAAGAATAAAATAAATGACTAGATAAAAGAAGAAAGTGAGAAAGAACATAGTGGATGGAAAGCAAAATATCAGTAAAAAAACAGAGAATTTAAAATTTAAAATTCATTATTTCATTCATTAAATAGTTAATTGAATATATAAGGCTAAGCTCATTATATCACCTTGAGAAATAATTGTAAATCACTAGAAAACTCTAAGCATTTTATATTGATATCTCCACTTTTTATCATTATCAAAATTTAAAAAGGAAAAAATAAAAAATAATTTTTTATGAAAATAAATCATAATAACAATCAGTACAACCATCTAAATTTCTTCTCATTGTATCCGACTGATGACTACATCAAATTATTTATAAATGTTAAAATTGCTTCTGGTTACTATCTTTACATCAAATATTTCCCCCTTAAAAACCATACCCTAAATATCTGAATTTGCCTTGTTGTATGACACATAATATATATTCTTCCTTAAAGTTAGTCAAACTTCTGTTCTTGATGCATACTGTTAATTTTGCCATTGCTGTATATTCCCCAAGTTTGATTTCCCAGTCCGATATTGTCTTGATGCATACTGTTAATTTTGCCATTGCTGTATATTCCCCAAGTTTGATTTCCCAGTCCGATATTGTCTTGATGCATACTGTTAATTTTGCCATTGCTGTATATTCCCCAAGTTTGATTTCCCAGTCCGATATTGTCTGCAAAGTATATCTTGTCCAGTGTTAGACTTTTCTATTTTACTTCCCTGCCATCTTGATGAAGATCTGGATTTGTGTAGCACAATATGGTAGCTGTACAGTCTAAAGCCAGAATTAGTTGAAA